CCAAACAAAGAGTGGAGACATACCAAAAATAATTTAAATTATAATATTTATTCCCCGGGTAGAAATAAGTACACAGAAAGAGGAGATAATCTGACAAAAGCAGGAAAAGTAATGGACACAAATGTTTGTTGTGGGGTTTTTTTAAACATGATTCAGTTCATGAGGATCCAGGAACAAGTATGTTTTACGAAGCAAATCTATCCATCTCAGACAGAGAAAAGTATCTCTAGACTACTTATTACAAGGTATTTTTTTGTATAAACAAAAGTCACCTGTTTTTCCATTTTCTTACTTTGCACTCTAAAAAGGAATTTAAATGCTATTCACTTAATTGCTTGATCTACTTCTAGGTGGCTGAAAAGCAGCAGTGGTGGGAAAAATAAGAACTCTGAAGTGCTCTTCTGTAAGAACCCAGAGGATCAATGTTAGTACTTTGGCTGTCACAGGGTTACAGGTTTCCAGGGGCTTACCGTGTTGCAAACCAGATGTAATGGGAAACAGCCTCATCTGCTGGATTGAGGAGATACTATCAGGTGTCTATGCATCATTTAATACTTGCTTTTGTTTTTTTCTTTTCTGGGCCCTACACTGCATCACCCCAAACATCTCAGTGCAGTCACAGAACAGTAAAAACTGTTCTATGAAGGCAAGAAAACAAGAAAAACACCACCACAAAAGGTGAAACAGAAAAAAAAGCCAGCGTACATGGATTATTGTGATGTTAAAAAGAATCTGAAGGAAGTTAAAGATGTGAAAGGAAAATACATGGTTACAATAGCTAGGAGAAACAGCTATGCAATGGTAATGACCTTCAAAGATAATGACCTTCACCACATAAATTAATTCTAGTACCAAGAAGATAGTAAAATTGCTGAAGTAAAAAGCTGTAAGTATTCAATAAATATTGTCTGTCTGCATATGATCATGTGGATAACTTTGTTCTACATTAAGATTATTAAATACTTCTAATATGCTTATGACTACAACAGATAATATCAGGATTTAGGATTTCATAAGGAAAAACAGACAAGATCTAGAAAAATGCCCAAGAGAACTGCCTTCATATATTAGTGGGACCCTAATGTCTATTTATGGTGTATGTGGGAATAACAAGGAAATTTCTCCAGAGCAGGTGTCCCAATATTAAAAAAAACAAACATGAGAGTTAGAACACTTTTGATCATGGATTAAATGTAAAAAGTATGTTAATTAATGAAGTATTAATTCACTTCATAATAAGAAGAACAATTAAAAAGATAAAAATGTCACTAATGCCAGTCAACCTGGTTTTATAGAAAAGCTATCCTGTTAAACAAACCCGGGGTTTGTCCTCTGTAACTGCAGTAACACCATAAGGCACTTTGCCTAAAACACACAGCATTGGGGACAAAATAAAAACAACAGAGTGAAGAATGCAGCACATGAATTACAAATGAGTTCATGAAAGACCTCATATTTAGCAATTATGTCAGTACTAGATCCAAAGTAATTTTACATTGTTCTCAGTAAAGTGAAAATCACAGAACTGTCAGTGCTGGGGTTGGCAAATACGGTGGGAGCGGTCTGATCCGCATCAGTTGGTTCACTGCCCTCATTTCTTGAGAGCACATTCTCATGCACATGTTTAAAAACATGGGGCTTACAGAAAGCAGGTATGTAAATCCCAGATAAAAGAAAAATATTTATGCTCAAACTTAAAAGGCTTAATCTTTTTAATCCTTTCCACAAAAAAAACAGACTTAATTTGATGGCAGTATGAACTACATACAAGAGGCCATACTTTCGCCTTGAGGATAAAGAAATAAGGATAACAATGTTCAGAAATTAAACTTCAAAAACATACCAAAATTCATATTTGAATGAAAGGTAAGAGAATCTGAAACAAATACTGATCATAACCTTTTATCTTGAAGTTTCAGCTCAAAACTATACACCTCTGAATCCTTAGGTGCATTCAGGGGTGCCATACACATGACTTGCAGCACTCAAGTGGTCAGGCTGTATAAACTAACAGGACCTTCTGTCTCATTTGGATTTTACAGCTCAGAAAGACAAATGTTATTTGTCTGCACAGTGAGGCAACAATTAGGAGAAACAGGCAAATGTATGTTTTTCCCTCTATAAATGTTTCTTCCTTCAGCTTTATTTACCCCACCGTTAACTCATCCTCATACAAACAGGCATGAAACAGACCAGGATATCCTTTCTCCATATATTTTTACTGCGTCAAGGAGGCAGGAATGCAATATTTCTTCCTATAGAATCCAAACCATTCTGTCCTAAATCATGACTGATCAGATGCTGTGTGACAAGTACATAATTTTAAATACCTTAAGATTTTGGCATGTTTGTTGCAATGACAGAGTGCAAAACTTCAAACCTTTCATGGAAAACGTGAAATTAATTTTATTTACCTCCTCCAAATAACAGCCTCCTTGGCTTATGACCAAGAGCTCTATTCCCTCAGAACAGCCTTTGTGCTGTTAGTAGGTCTTTGACTTTTTTTTTTTTTTCTTTTTCAAAGCAATGGAATGTAATTCTAGATGTCACAGATATTACAGCGTATTTACTTGCAGCTCAAGCATTTTATTTGCTTCAGTGAACTTTCTTCAAGCTCCCCAGCCTCCTCCACCCGTTTCTCTGCGGAATAGCTTCTACTGCTATGCCTGCAGCTTAAATACATGAAATTGAATTCAAATTACACTATCAAAAACGTCCTGTTCCATGATAAAGTTAAAACATGCAGAGAATGTAGGATCTCTGAGACACTATTACTATACAACATATGAAATATTCCACTGAATATGGTGGGAGTAATAAATAAGAAGCAACAGAATGCACCATGGCTGGATTAACCCTGGCTCTTCTCTACTCTAACAGACAGGCACCAGGCAAGAAAAGAACACCTGAAAAACCTGCTGTGCCCTACTTCATGTCAAACTACACCTGGTGTCTAGAAATCATACCCTGTGCCCCAAATCATCTTCAATTCCAATGCAAGTGCTTATTGCCATGTCAAATTCACTGTTAAGCTAAAAACTTCATACTACACCTTTTCAGATAAGCTGCTATGATGTGCAGCAAGGTCAGTATCTTTCAAATGAAGTTTAATTGAGGGAATCTCACCTTCAGCAGATTTAAAGTTTGTTCAATTACTGATAAATGTGTCAGATATGTCTCTGAGACACCCTAAGGAAATAAATGTTCACTGCAGGTAATTCTATCAGAGAAAAAAATAAAGTGTTTCTGTCTCCCCTAAAGAATAAAACAATGTCATGAGAACTGATTTTTCAACCTTGCATAATAAAAAGGCAATTTGCCACAAGACCTTTCACACCCATTTGTTAAAGTAACCCAGAAACTTATTCATGGAGAGAGACACTAGAGACACACAATTGATTTTCACAACTACTAATTGCTAAGAAAACTGTATTTTATTCAGAACAAACACTACCAGACAAGCCTGCCTCCAAGATAAGGCAGCAAACAGCAAGAAGCCACAGCTTTTTCCAACACAAAGTACAAAAACCTATTTACATGAGCTGGAGTTCCATCCTTTCCAGTTTGCCCAGACTTGCCCCATTTTTCACTGCATTTTGCTATGTTACTGACAGAGTGCAAGATTTTCCTTTTTTTTTTTTTGCTGACATACTAACACCAGACAAAGCTTCCTTTCATCAGGCATTCAACTCTGCTCCAGCACCAGGCTATCAAAAAAACAGCACTGCTGGACACTAGGCAGTCTCCTGTGGCTAGACTGCAGACCTCTGCTTCTCAGGAGAGGAATCATGGTACCTGTAAATCAAATCCTTTATTACAACACCTATACCAAGAGTCTCCATGTCAACCAACATCACAAAGTTTTGTTATTACATCAAATCCACTGTATCTGATACTTTTACTAAACTTCTACCCAACTGGTATCAGAGACACCGAGAAAACAAGCAGAAACTCAATGCAGCAGACTGCTGAAATGGCAGGTTTTTACCTTCCAGAAAAGCCAAGGTAGCAACAGCATTGACAATCACTGCTTCACTCCAGCTTTCAAGACTGTTCTAAGTTGCAGTTTTAAACACAAACTTCATTTCCCAATAAATTCAAACATTGTTGTGCCATGGAGCACGTCAGAAGAGAACTTCTGCTTCCATTCAGTTGGATACAGCACACGTTTTTAAAAAGCCACATAGTTCTTTGCAGACTATTCAGCTCCACTCAGACACATGGCCAGCAAGCTTTACTGAAGCTAAGCATTTTGTCATGATCTGAAATAAAGATGAACATTCAGAGCTACACCCTTCTAACTGTGAAGCTACCTGTGACAGTTAGAAATAGCTAGAGGAAGCTTTTATAGCAATTGAAAAAGCTGGAGGGGAAAAAACAACAAAGCAACTCAACAGCAGTTTGAGCAAGTCTTTATTCTTCTACTCCAATGACTGGAAACAACAAGACAAACTAATTCCCCAATTATTTTTGTCAAAACGTTGGGGCATGATGGAATCTGGCTCTCAAATAAATGCATGCTTTGAAGAGGGAAAAAGTAAGAGTTATTTTTGTGATTTGTGCCTCACAGCCAAACTTGAACAACCCTGAGAGAAGTCTGTGCAGACAAATCACTGGAGATTTATGTGCAGCTTGTTAAGATTTGTTTCCCACCCCCTTTCGTGTTATTGCTCTACAAACTGTGGAATGTTTTAGCAAGTGTCAATCTTGACTAAAATCCATCATAAAGAATGCTACAATATTGCTTTTTATTACAAATAGCCAAAATATAAATGTGTAAAACAATCAACTGACTGTACAGTGCATTTACAGGACACAGAAAGGAACATGCAGTGTAAAGAACTGCTTCATATATTAGCCCTTGGCCACAAATAACTTGGCAGTACTACTACAACTTTCATGCCTATAGGGTGGGAAAAAAAACAACAAACAAAAACAACTAAAAACCAAAAAATCTGTTACATTTAAGTTTACTATAACTTCGGGATACATACATCACTCTACAAGAAACAGCAATTTTTAACTAGAAACTGTGTCATCATGGAACTCTTGGAAGGGCTGGACCTGCCTGTCCTCCAGTCCTCCTTACAGCTGCTCCGGCTCTCCAGCGGTTTGGTTGCCTTCCCATCCGGCTGGGGACCTTCGTAGAGGACACAGATAGACCCATCTTCACCTATGCGATAGGACACTTCAAAAGGGTCGACCCAAAGAGTTAATTCGCTGGGTAGGAGCTGGAAGAGTCTCTCGTGGCTCAGTCCAATCATGCCTGCTGCCTTGCCTATCAAGGGGTCCATCTGATGGTTGATCCTAATGCACCGGTAGCCGGAGCCCTTGGAGGGCGCCAGGGGGAACCAGTGGTGCTTGTAGTGCTCTGCGAGAGGGAACAAAGAGCGGCTTTACGGCGGCGCCGAGGCCCCGCAGCTCGGCCGGACCCCGCAGCGGCGCAGCGGCCGGGCCGGGCCCTCCCCCCGCTCACCGCGCAGCGCCTCCTGCAGGCACTCCCGGAAGCACCG